GTAGGGGGTCCTCGAATTATAAATATAGGTACTTGGTCAACATCGGAGTGATGGCTAGAAGGTATTTATACTTTTACATGGCATCTCCCGTTTGGAGAAGTCCCTTCTTAAAGTCGATAGGCTCCTTATAGGTGATGATGATTTTGTCGCCCATTTCGAAACTATAGCCTCAATAGCCTACATGTAGTCTATCAACTTAACCACTTGAGTCTCCAAGGTATGGATTTGGCTTTGAAACGTCAATAATTCATTCTCAATTTGACAATTGTAATCTCAAATTCTCTTTAGAGTCTATCTCTACTTAGCATTATTATATTGAAATGATTCGACTAGATCCTATGCCTCGACCAACTTCGCCTTTATGTTGGCAACTTTTCGTGGGTTGACTCGCACCTCTAACTCGATGACTTGCTCCTAAAGTTTGTCACCTCTTCGTTCAAGATGGAAATTATGGATCCGGAATTGCCAACCCGATCTATTAGGCCCATCAGATAGTGGTTGTGCTGCACAAAGACAAATTGTTAACGATGAGGAAAACATTAGCATGAGAATGGTTAAGAAAGAAACAAGCTTACCAACGTACGCACTTACCCTCCTTAGCTTTTAGCAACTTTGAAGACACCATGTACACCGATTTGGCCAATAGGGGGGAGAAGCACACCCCATAGGGAATGGCTCATCATCTGCCCATTCTTTCATAGGATGTCGTTGGATTGAGATCCTATTACGATTGCAATAGCTCCCCAAGTAATGAATCAAGCAAATTAGATATCTAAAATGCCATAAAAGGTATGGGCTTGTGTTTGTAGAAACCTCACACATATTAGCATTAGGTATTCTTTTCGATTGACTCACTCTCGAGCACTAAGGTGTCAGATGGAGGGTGGCTTCCCGAAGTGGTGATAAAGCTTGGCCTCGATGTAGACATGCTAGAGATCCTCTGCTTCTTGATGACCCCGAGCTTTTTGGGATGCATCTCTTAGCCACCACCTCAGCGAGCATGACTCCCTCGAGAACTTCGATCTCTTAGGGTCTCCGTCTCTACCAAAGGAGTGGATTCTCTAGTTGTGGCCTTCTTTTATGCCCCTTGTTTTATCGTATCTTACTGAGATATCTATTTAGGAAACAAGTGCTAGACATGCGACGATCTTCCACTCGATAATGATACCCAAAGGAACCAGGCTCAAACCAACTTCAATGAACCACCCTTCTTCAATCCTTTTTATGGCTAAGAAAGATGATAATGTCTCTACCAATTGAAGAACTTGACTATTTTCCTCTAAGAATAGTATCAAGGAAGGATTCGGGATAGAGTGAGTTGACTACACAAGATTGAAATTATCCCATCCAATAAAGAAAAGCATCCGTTCCAACCCTTGTTGGAGCTTCAGGTGCCCTTAACCTTAAACCCCTCTTGAGAGCATGCATGAAATAGATTAATGGTTGGGGCTATGTCTACATGACAACACTATCCGATGAATGAAATGATTTAGCATCACAAGTTGGGTGTCATATGAGATGTGATATCCTCCATCACTTGAACCACACCAAGAATAATATCTTAGTGTAGACCACAAACAGGTTAGTTGTGATGGATCCTATGAGGAGATAGAGTCACAAGGTTTGGATTTTCTTCTAAGAAGTGATACTGGTGATCCTTTATTTGTTGGATGCAAGTGTATTGAACTTAAGATTACGATACAATATGGTGTCAAGTTGATATATGTAGAATAGGAATCTTAGCTGGTTCGTGTTCTCAAAAGTCCTTGTGTATTGTGAAATTTGATTGAGGATATTTGACATACATTAAAATTTTTTGATTCCTTCTTAATCACTCATGCATATAGAAAATGAAATGAATCTGTTAACTGGTTAGCCAATCATGCTAAACTAAGGATTTGGTGCTATGAACTATGGAGATTTTTTTTACCTCATATGTTTACTTAATGTTTTTTCCAAAAAAAAAAATACTAATGATAGCAAGAATGAACCATTTGAATACCAGTGAAATTAGTCTCGACTAAAGCCCAATGACTTAACGTTTTCTACTCACATATATTGCTCTCTCTATTATCTTGGCTTGTCCATATGTTTATTATGCACCACAATAACGTTTTTCTTTATTTGCTTTAATCCTTATTTTCCTTCATCATGGATCCCAAGGAGTAGTTTAAACTAGGAATCCTTCTCATTGATAAATGACAGAACATAAAGGTCTTAGCAAGATGTTTGATATAAACTAAGTTTATTGACATAGCAGTACTTCCAACTGTGAAACTGAGAAGTCCCTAACCACTGCTACTTTTCCTGCCTCCACCGCCAAACCACCTCTAGCTTTATTCATCAATCGATCATATTTGATTTTGGAAACATTGAAACCCTCAACGATCATATGAAATCTATTAACATCCCCTCTGATACGTATTTTGGGCCCCAGACACGTCTCAGCTGACACCACACGCTAAGTCAGAATCGTACCGAGAAGATGTTCCACATGTCTTGTCCCGAGAGCTCGGGGTGGTGCCGTCTGACGCTGCTCCGCACGTCCCGGGACGGCGACCGGTCAGAAGTGTCGTCCCATCCCTCGAGGGTCAGCGGCCACGCCTAATCGACGTGCTATCGACCCTCGTGCAATAATATAAAGCCCCTGATCGGCCTCCGACCAGGGGAGAAAAAAAGAAAAGAAAAAAAGAGAGATAAAAACTAATACATCTCATTACTAACTTGCTCGTCGGAGGGGCCAAAGCCGGGGATCACTCAGCGAGGACCATTTTTGCAGGCGAACGACTACCCGCGAGCGGCGAGCGGCGAGCGCCTCAACCTCGGACGTCATCCACCGTGCAAAGGAGAGCTGTGGATGACATCCGAGGGCACGGCCACCTCATCATCCAGTTCACCCTACGTAAAGCTCCCGACATCGATCCGCGGACCCAGCCGTGCTGATTCGGCCACGGTATATTTGTTCGCTAACACCCTCCATTATGCTAAATCGTTCAAAGGATTTCTTCTACCAGTTCCATTTTCAAGAAACATTGTTATAGATCAAGAAAATTCAAAATATATATTAGAAGAAATTATATAAAGCAGAGAAAGAAGGCGGTCAATAATGATATTAACGGAAGAACTTTACCAGGGCTTCTTGGCTTGGAGAGGAGAGAAGGTAGGTAGATATTCTTGTGAAATATGTCGAAATGTTTAGGGTTTGTAGAAGTCTGGTCGGATCTAGACAATCGAATCCTCTGCAGCCACTTCGATCTCGCGTCGGGAGGAGGGCCAGAACCTCCTGGAGATGGAGAGGAAGACGGCGGCCAGAAGCACGCCCAGGAGGTCAGCCGCAGCGTCCTTGGAGGAGGCGCCGGCAGAATGCCAGAGTCCGATCTCGTCCCCGGCCTCCTTGCCAGCCCCGGCGACAAGGGCCGCGATGGAGCCGAGGGCGACGCTCCGCCGGCGGAGGAAGGCGTGGCGGCTCCGGCCAGCGAGGGCGGCGACGAGGATGGCGATGGCGAAGCAGGCGAGGAGGTGCTCGAGCTTGTCGGCGGCCAACCAGTCGTCGCCGTCGTCCTCCATCGGTGCCGCTGCCGCCCTTTTGGGCTCTCTCGAAAAGGCCGCCTGGAGCCGGTTCTGACCGAGTCGGGTTTTGTTCGAACGATGCCCTGTTTCGGGCCTATCGAGGCAGACCGTACCAAGTTAACTCTTGGACCACGAGTCACGTCTTTGTGATCTGCCCATGGCAAACTATGTTTAGTTTAACACGTGTTAATTAAAATGAAATCAATGTTTTTTTCTTTTTCTATCGATTTCATTAACATTTATATTTTCCTTATAACTTAATTTTTAAGTTTTAAAGCAATATTTACCATAGCACCCGGGTATGGTCTGGCGACCGTTCCCCCTTGTTCATCAAAAAGGAGTAATAGCTCTCCAATTAAATATTTTAAACATGTAAACAAAAAATTTTGATTTTTTGAAATATTTATTTTGCATTTTTTTGAAGGATAACGGTTTTATATTTTATTGCATTAGTCAAAAAATAATAAACGCGCCAGGTAGGGGTCGAACCTACGACTTTCTGCTTAGGAAACAGACGCTCTATCCACTGAGCTACAGGCGCCATTACGACAATCCTTGGCGCTCTAACCCTAAATGTAGTTTTGATCTTCTTTACCGATAGAAAGTTCCACGTGCACTGACGGTCCTACGAGGCCGGTGACTCTTCCTTCTACTTCTTCTCAATGGGGTCTCTTGTCGTTGTTGCTCATCTTCTTCCTTCTCGACCTCGGATGAGGAGGATGTTTCTATCCTTCTCTTCTCTTCTTCCTCAACTCTAGTACTAACTTTTTCTTTTCTCCTTGGATTCTTCCTCCTTTGACGCTTAATTCTTCTTTCAGCTGCTCCACTACAGCCACTTTGCGAGGCTTGCCTTGCTTTACTGGACCCTGTTGCGGAGCTGTAGGTTGCTGTGATGATTCATTCCCCAGCAGTAATCTCCGAGGTTGATTTTTTCTTGACTTTCTTCTTCCCAATCTGCAATCAAAAAACCAAAACCCAGTATTAATATCAGCTCAGATGGATCAAACTACTACAGAATTGACCAAGACATGCATGAAAAGGCCTATCGAAGTACTACAGACATGACCAAGACTTGCATCAAACGACCTTTCTATATAAGCTATGAAATCTCTCATTCTTTTACTTAAGCTGCAGAGAAAACTAGACGAAGAAAAGGAGGGGAGAAAGAGAGAGAAGAGGTGAACGGTCGAGAAAGCACTGACACGTGTGGCAGCCATCGAATCCCCTCCAATGATCAGAACGCAGTTCCCCCAGCTCCGTCGTACGTACGTGCGTGGACAAGAAAACAAGCCTGGAAAAGTACGTCCGTACGGTGGGGGGACGCCATCAACATCAGTATGACATGCACATTGCCCGTGCATCCTCGATGCCATGATTCAGCCTGCCGAATCAAAACTCTGCACTCATCAGGATGTACAGGAACAGGCCGAGCTTTCAAAGCAGCAGCACAGCAGGGGGAAGATCTCTGCATGGAGTCCGTAGAGTGCCCAAGAATGCATCCAATGAGGATGCTACTGATGAGTCAACCTACTATGGTTGTGAGAGAAGGATAGGATGAATGAGTTGTCATTGGCTTCCCCAAGCTCTAGCGGTTGATATGAAAACTGTGTTTCATTTAAAAAATGTCCATCAACGATATTCTTGGACCCAAAATATTTTATACACATCCTATCTAGATTCTCGTGTGATAGAGAATCCAAGTTGCCAACTGTTGCCATCTTTTCTCGGCCTCTACTTATGGTGTACGATAACCTTTTGGTCTATGTCATAATCTTATTGTGTATTTAGAAAAGGCCAAGGGGAGAGAAGAAAGGCTTGATAGAGGATAATGTATTGTTGGTTGCCCTATTCCCTTGATGTATAATATTATTTATATAAGTTTAGAAAACTTGTCAAGACCCTAAATGAAGGGTGATCATAATTAATCAACCTCTTAACTACGTATGACACCAATAGGTCAATGATTATTGAGGAATTATTTTCCTAGATGGTGTGATTATAATAATATAAAGATTATTTCTTTATATGCTTTTGTAACATTGATGTTCCATCATAAACACTAATCTTGAAATAATATTAAATAAATAAGTAATATGATAGTGACTTCATCAAGGGATCTGTCAATTGATCGATAGTATAAACATGATTAACATAGAGTTGCTTTTAACAAAATTTGGTCATAGATAAAATAAAAGTTAATGATTATGTGTTTCGTTCGTAGGTGAAAGATTAGATTAACATAGAGGCAAGTAAAACAAATATTATTACAATATATAGTTGGAGGAGATAGTTGTCCAATTAAAAATTTATGAAGCAAGTTCTCAACACAAATAATTAATAGCAGTAGATGCAACAACTTGATACTCATTCTCTGTAAAAGATTGAGTAATATTTTTTATTTTTTTTTATCTCTAACTATTAGGTTAGCTTAAAAAAATAATATAAGCAGAGATCGAAGTTAGATGATCAAGATTTTCAACCAAGTGGACATTAACACAAAGCACAAAGACTTGGAGAATCTTTGTGAATTAGAATATCATAATTTAACGGATCTGTTTGATTGTAGTCTAATAGTTTAATGATGGTCGATGTAAAAATTAAAATAGTTTATTGATTGTAAATAAAATATATAATCAAATGAGAGATACTATAATAAACCAATTGTAGAGTGATAAAGAGTACCTGGTGGTGATGATGATGATGATGATGTGGACAGAGGATGTAGAAGACGGCTGCCGAGCGACGGTGCTGATGTGGGGCACATCGTCGGAGCCGCCATCGCAGGGCACGGGAAAGGCTGCCGCCTCCCGCACCCGCTTGCCCGCCAGGGCCACGCCCACCACCCTCCCCGCCACCCAGAGCAGCACCTCCAGCACCCCGCCCTGGAACCTCAGCGGCCACGGCCGTTTCTTGAACACCACCTGACCATCCGCCTCCTCAATGTAGCTCGCTACCTCCTCTCCGTCCCTGTTCGCGCTTGGCCTCTTCGTCACGCCCATGGAACCCACCAGGGTCCACTCGTCGGACTCATCCAGAATCTTGTAGAGTAGCACCGTCTTCTTCGTTGCCGCGCCGCAGCACAGCTGGCCGTAGGCTAGCCGATCTCCCACCGGGCCCCTGCCGCGTGGCCCATCGGCCATGGGGCCACCCGGACCCTGTCCGCCGCCGGGTCGTACCCGATCACCATGAGCATAGTCGTCAGCCAGTATGCCGCTCCGCCGGCGGAGACGCCAGAATCAGGATGCAGGCGCTCCGCCTCGCAAACCTCTCCGGAGATCCACCATTTGCCGGACTCCGGCAAGAAGGTCTGGAACCCGAAGACTCCCGACTCGGCGCTGCCGATCTCGAAGGCAACCACGACGGAGTAGTCGGCGCGGAAGTTGTAGACGCCGGAGAGGACGATGAGAACGGCGGCGGGGTTGGCCCCCGGGTCGACGGGCGGCCAGGGGATGGCGGTCAAGGCGGTTGTGGCCGGGTTGCGGTGGGTGGAGGAGGGATAAGAGGAAGGGGGTGAAAGATGGCTGAGCTGTCGCCGGAGTGGGAGGAGCGGAAGAGGATGCCGGAAATGGAACGGTGGGTACGAGACTAGCTGTGGGCGAAAATGGGGGAGGAGATGAGGCGGGTCCAGGATGGGGCGACGACGCGGAAGCGGAGGAGGGAGTAAACGGGGAGATAGATAATAGAGGGCGTGGCCTCTGACGAATTCCTGGAGGCCACAGGCGGAGAAAGGGGAAGAATCGGCGGCGGGGAAGTAGTCATCGAAGTCGCCGCCGTCTTCTACTTCATCGGAGCAATCGAGGAGGAGGGTGAGAGCATCGTCGTCCGGTTTCGTGGTTCTTGGAACTGCGGCGCCCCTCTCCGTTTGATCGCTTCTTGACGACGCTTCTGACGGACGCGGGCGGTTATTCATATCCTTGATCTTTTATAAGCGGAGTCAATCTTGCCGCAGAACTAAAATAAAATAAAATAAAAATATTTTGACGATAATTTAAATTTAAATAATTTTTAAAAAAATTGGATTCATTTAAATCATATTAAAATCTTCGTCTAATCGGGTCGACATGATACGATTTGTGAAATTAAATCCACATCATTTCAAAATTAACCTTTTAGACTATTTTAATTAATCGATTTAAACCGTTTAGAACAACGAACTCATTTGATTAACCGATTGAGTTGGAGCAATGAACTCAAACCGCTTAACCGATTTGAAATCATGTCATGAATTATATGTATTAACCTCCAGACGAAGATGCACATGGCCTTCAATCACATGGAATTTTATACTCAATTTAATCCATTAGATCGACGACTTTATTCTCAAATCAAAATAGAAATATTCATATGAGGACAGACAATATTCTCCATTTAGATTCAGATAATTTCTAATCATTAGGGTCTTAACACTCCTTCCTCGTTGGCCCAAAGAATGGTTTGTTTTCCTTTTAGCTTTACACTAAAATTTTCTTGTCTCCTCTTTGACCAAATGAGGAGAATATTGTGGAATACATTTGTGGCACCCTTTTGCTTTTTGTATATTTTTCAATTCGACCCCATTTGGGCATTCTATAAAATTAAATTTGTGACTTATTTTACACAAAGAAATCGAATCACGTAAAACTTTCATTTAATCTCTTTAATAATAATGATAATAGTAAAATAATTTGCAAATGAAACGGAAAGCTTTCGAGGTGGCACGGAGGCGTTAGATCACAGACAGAAGGATCAGACCAAATGAACGGTGGACAAGGGTGTGACATGGTGACGTGTCAACAGAAATGCTACCTCCTCTTCCCTTCGACGCTTGCAGTGACCGATTAATAAAGCTGCGGCCTTCGACGCCCACCGCTACCGTCTGTGAAGGAATCCTTTCTTTACTCTTTTTGCTGCCGCTGCTTGCTTCCTCGTCAGTTCTGCCTTCGGTCACCTTCGCGGTGACGCTTCCGTCCCTTTTCAGAGGAGACCGGCGGAATCATTAAAGCCCCCTTTTTCTGGATCACCATTGAGGGATTTTCCCAGGACGGGAAGGAGGAATACGGGAGCGATGGTTGGGGGTTCCAAAATCGGGGCTTCTTGGTGTCCTTTGGCACCATTTGGATGGGTTTTAGAGGCTAAAAGAGCCCCGTTTGTGTACGGTGGTGGCGGGGCGATTTAGGGTGTGGATTGTTGTGCTGCTTGCC